AATGTTAGTGGCCTGCGATTGGGGCAATCTGTCGTGGTGGTGGCCTATGGTGGGTGGTGGTGCTAGCCTACATTGGTAGTGGTCGCCAGTCGTGAGTAGCAGCAGTGGTTGTCATCTAGTAGCGGCGGCCGACGAATGATGGTGATGGTGGGAGGGGATCCAACAAACTTGCTTCTCGTATAAACGATTTTGACTTAAAATTGAGCATGTTTGAATTACTTTAAAAAAATTAAAATAATTTACACTATATTTACTTTACTTTACTTCACTTTGTATTCCAACCAAATATCAAAATTTTTAAAACCTCTGCATTTGAAATAGTTAACACCCTTTTGTAGTTCAACCAAACAGTTAATAGCTTTCTCTTAATATTGTTTGTATTATTTTTTTGATTTTGTATATATTAAAAACTAACATGGAATGGTGGAGCCACATTCAAATACTTAGTTGGAGATTCTTTGACAAATTATTATTTTAGGAATTTAATGTTTATTATTAAAATTAAAATATATTAAATTTAAATTAATTTATTAAGTTTAATATTTTATTTAATTTTGTTTTATTCTAAATATATTAAATTAACAAATTAAATCTATTAAATGGTTCATTGAATTGGCTGGTTCAAAGAAACCAGGGCCAATTGAACCGACGGCTTTGATCAGTTTACTCATCTTTGATGCTAAAGTGGCTTCTAAGATGACCCAGGCCAATCAAAGAGCTGCTTGATGGTTGAATCAATTGAACTGGTTGTTCTCGATCCAGTTTTAAACGTTGCTCTTTCCAAATCATTTATATGTCCAAGCAATAAAAAATGAGAGCAAAAAAATCATCATGAGGCCTTTTCTCTCTAAGGCTTCGTTTGGCTATTTGATTCTTTCGTAAATGATAAGTTTAAGAAACATTGATTCAGAAATGGAGTTTTCTAACCGAGAAACATATATAAAAAGATTTCTCAAAACAGCAGAAAATTGAAAAAAAAAAAAATAAGTAGGACACAAACCCGACCAATTTCTTTATCGAGTTGCCTTGAATCTGAATTTTTCGGGTCATATTCAAGTTGAATTTTCAGGTCATATCACTTATTAACACTCCTAGTATTAATCACTTATACAACCTATATTATCTGTTACAATTATTTTCGCATCGTTACCAATTAACTCATAATATCCAGCACACGTCTTTATAATTCCCCATAGTGAATAACTTATACACAAACTAGTTGTAAGCACAGCAAGAGGGTTTTTTTGCTCTGCTAGGGTTTTTTTTCCTTGGCGGCGCTTCTTCTCCGTTCGCTTTCCTGGCCTCTGGCCGGGATGGCTCTCTCTTCGCAGGAGTTTCCTCCTCTTCCTGGCTCCTCCCTTCTTGGGGCTCCTCCTTCTTTACCTCCTTCTACCTACGCGATTAATCTCGCGGCGCCTCCTCCTTCTAGAGATGTTTGGCCTATGACTTACTCCAAGCCGTCACATAAACTCTCCTTTGCTTCGAAGAACCTGACTGAAGGGAAGGCTCTTTGGAATTTATCGCTTGTGGGATATTCCCTTGGCCCGCGCCCTTATTATGAAAGGCTTAGGTTGGCTATGGAGAAAGCTTGGAAGCTTAAAGGAGACTTATCTCTTCTTTCTCTTGCTGACGATTTCTTTCTTCTCAAGTTTACTGCGGTGGAGGATTATGACATGGTTTCTGCTGGCGGACCTTGGTTCTTACTGGGAAAGCCGTTTATACTTCAGCGGTGGGATCCGACGTTTCAACCGAAAAGGGATGAACTGGCTGCGATTCCGGTATGGATTAAAATCTTAAATCTACCTTTAGCTTTATGGACCCCATCAGGTATTTCTCAGATCGCCAGTTTTATCGGTATCCCGCTTTATGTTGATACTTTGACTGCTAAGAGAACGAGGCTTACATTTGCGAGGGTTTGTGTTGAGGTGGACAAAAACTCTGTTCTTGCTGAGGAAATCCCTCTGGAAATAGACGGGATTGATATGTCCTTGAAGGTTGTTTATGACTGGAAACCCGTTAGGTGCGAGGGATGTGGATCTCTGTGCCATTCCTTTTCTTTGTGTCCTAAGAATCCTGCTCCTAAACCTTCTATCCCTCAAAAGCTGGTTTTTCGTGGTAGGAGTACTAGCAGGAATCCCAACTCTAGAACTGTTAGTTCTTCTAGACCTAAAGTTGTTAGTATTCCTCCTCACACTGTGGTCGCTCAGTCGACTGATATTCCTTCTTCGTCTAAACCTTCTCCAACCGTGCTTGCCCAGCCTCATCCTCCCTCCTCTGAACCCCCTCCTACCCAAATTTTTGTTCAGCGTTCTTCTTCTAAGCTTCCGACTTCTTTGGCTCAAGAGGATAACATCTTGATACCCAACCTCAACCTACCTCAAGCTGACTCGTTCTCAGCAAATTCTATCCCTTCCAAAAACATTCTGCTACCTTCCCAAGTTCTTCTTGTTAACAGCTTTCAATCCCTTCCTGTTGAAAACTCTGTTAACGCTGAAGATGATCCTACTGAAGAAGTTTCCTTTGATGAAGACCTCTCCTCTTCTTCAAAAACCACCGATGTTATCCCTAATAAGGGTAAATCAAAGTCCACTTCCAAAGCTAACTCCCCTCCTAAAAAAGCCAAATCCAAATCGGCCAAGAAGGCCAAACCCCATTAATTTTCCATGTCCCTCCCTCCTATCGCGGCTTGGAACGTTCGAGGGTTTAACAACCCAGTCAAGGTTAAGATGTGTAAAGATCTTATTAATGTTTTCAAGCTGAAGATGCTTTGCATTTTAGAAGCTAAAGTTAATGTTAATGCTGCCGTGGACCCCTGGTTTAAATTTTCTCATGCCTTGTTTGATAATGAGAATTGTTGTGATAATTTTCATCTTTCTTCACCTGGTCGCATTTGGGTGAAGTGGGACTCCTCTTCTTTATCTTTCAACCCCTCTGTTGTTATTTCTCAACTTATTCATGGTACTGTGAATGCTGGTTGTCTTCCTCCCTTCATCTGACGGTAATCTATGCTGCTAATAATATGGAGGATAGGAAGTCTTTGTGGAGCTCTCTGTTGGATCTTGCTTCCCATATTGATTCCCCTTGGATTCTTATGGGAGACTTTAACTGTTACAGATATGATTATGAAAAAGGGGGAGGGGTTCCTTCTTCTACTGCTAAAGTTGGCGAGCTCAACTCCTTCATCTTTAATTCGGGCTTACAGGATTTGAAATCTGTTGGTTTGTTGTTCACTTGGTTTAATCAGAGAAGTGACTCTCCGATTCATATTAAGCTAGATCGTATGCTGATTAACCCTTCTTTTCTTGACCTTTTTCCTATGGCATATTACAAAGTTGACGCCTTCTCTGGCTCGGATCATGCTCCTATTATCCTATTGCCATCCATGCACCAAAAAGCTATGACCCGGTTTATGTTTAAAGAATTTTGGCTTAATTTGGATAATTTCTGGGAAGTGTTACTCCTTTCCTTTGAGAAACCTGTTGGTGCTAGTCCGATCTCTGCTTTTTATGATAGTCTCAAGTTTCTAAAATGTGCTATCCGGAATAAGAATTGGGCTTCTGCTAATTTTTTGTCTAATACTATTCTTCAACTTAAAAACCAGCAAGCTTTGTGTCTTGATTATATTCAACGGGATCCTATCAATCCAGAGCTTAACTTATGTCTTAAGAACACTAATGAGCAATTGAATGCTGCCCATCTTGCCTGGTCTTCTTGGATTTCTCAAAGGGCAAAGGCTTACTGGTTATCACAAGGGGAGGATGATTTAGGTTTCCTCTATTCCAAAATCAGAGCTAGAGGAAATTGCAATATGATTAAGGAGCTTCTTACTCCTTCTGGTCTTCTTTCTACCCATTCTGAGATTGCTCATGCTCTGGTGGATCACTTCAAAGCTCTTTTTAATGCCAATCCTCCTCCCCTGGAAAATTCCTTCATTTTGCCTGTTGGCAATACTGTTCCTGCTCATGCTTTAGCTAGTTTGGTGGCTCCTGTTTCTAATGAAGAAATCAAAAGTGTGGTTTTTGGTGGGGTTGCCTCCTCAGCTCCGGGTCCTGATGGTTTCTCCTTTACTTTTTATCAAAAAACTTGGCTTATCACTGGCTTTAAGTTATGCTCGGCTGTTAAACACTTCTTCTCCACTGGGTTCTTACCTAGAGGGGCCAAAGCCACTGTGATCTCTCTCATTCCTAAGGGTACTCATTCCAATTCTATTTCGGATTATCGTCCAATCTCTTTATGTAATGTCTTTTACAAGATTATTGCCAAGATTATTGCCAACAGGTTAAAGCCCATTTTGCCTCTTATCATTAATGAAAGCCAATATGGTTTTATTACTAAGAGGTGTTCCACGGACAACATTATTCTTGCCTCTGAAATCCTCAGAGAGTTCAAAAGTCATAAGAGATATTTCTGTGCTAAGCTTGATGTTAAAAAAGCCTTTGATTCAGTATCTCGTTCTTTCCTTTTGAATAGGCTTATTCAAAAAGGTTTTCCTGATATCTTTATTAAGTGGATTAGAGGCTGTATTTCTGACGTCTATTTCTCTATTTCTGTTAATGGTACTTTGGAAGGTTTTTTTAACTCCTCTTCTGGGCTTAGGCAGGGTTGTCCTCTCTCCCCACTTTTATTCTGTATTGCCATGGATGGCCTTTCTGCTTGTCTGGATAACTCTCAAGTTTACTCTTTTAAGGGGATCAACAATCACAATTGCAGCTTTAGTCATCTGTTATATGCAGATGATCTATTGGTTTTTGGGGAGGCTTCTAAGGACAATACTAATGTTCTTAATGAGATTCTGGTTTATTTTTCCAAAGCTTCGGGACTTTTTATTAATGCTGATAAGAGCTCTCTTATCTTCTCTAAGAATTTCAATGATGGTTTGGCTGTTGATTTGGCTGCTAACCTTGGTATCTCTAAGATTGATGATTGCATTACTTATTTGGGCATTCCAATTTCTACTGGGAGACTTAAACTTTCTCATTTCCAACCTCTTATGAATAAAATTGTGAATCATTTAGAGGGTTGGAAGGTGAAATTTCTTTCCTTTGCTGGTAGGGTGCAATTCCTTAAATTCACTATAGCTAATACCATTGCTTATTGGATTCGGGGAAGTATTTTACCCAAAGCCTGTTGCAAGTTTATTAAGAAAATCTGTGCCAAATTTCTTTTTTTTGGCAACATTAATGAGAAAAGACTTCACCTTATCTCTTGGAAATCTGTTGCTAAGCCTAAGCAGAAGGGTGGCCTGGGCCTTCCCACCATTGAGTATCTTTACCACAATATGATGTGCTCTTTCATATTTCGTATGTATAACTGTGATAACATGCTTGGTGTATGGTTTAAAGGAAAATTCTGCTCTCCTTGGAAACCTCCTCCCACCTGCGCTTCTAAATTTTGGAAGTTTTGTTGTCTCAAAGCTGCTGAGATTAAAGATTTCATTTCTCTTGAAGTCCATTGTAACAGCAATTTATCTTTCTTTTGGGATCCATGGTGCCACCAAAAGTCTATTTCTGAACTTGCTTGCCCCTCTACTTTTTCCAATTTGAAGTTAAAGGAGGTTATTTCAAATAATTTGTGGACTTTGCCTGAGGGGATTCCTGGAGACATTATTTTGAAAATTATGACGGTGGAGCTAAGCTCTAAGACTCATACTGTTTACTGGTTGGGGGCTGTTTCTCAAACTCTGAATAACTTCTCTAAATTTTATTTTTCTGATATGGAAGATGTTAGTTGGGCTAAATATATTTGGCATAAAGGTTTTGCTTTGAGGTATGCATCCTATGCTTGGATGGCTATTCTTAGGAAACTTAAAACTGCGGATCTTCTGCTTAGTAGAGGGATCTCTGTCACGGCTGAGTGCTCTTTTTGTTCTTACAGCAGGGAATGCCATTCACATTTATTTTTTGAATGTGATTTTTCTTTTAAGCTTATTACTGAGCTTATTCCTGCTTTGGAGAATTTCTACTTGAGACCTAATTTGTTTCAGGTATATGAATTTTTAAGCAATTCTGGGTGTTATAGCCGAGCTGAACTTAATTTTTGTTTCTTGGCTATTGCTGTTTTGGTTTACTGGATTTGGAGGGAACGGAATTCCCGCAGATTTTCTAATACCTGGAAGGGTCATTCTGAGCTGAAGGAGGTGATTTCTCAAGCTATTCATGCTAAAACTGTTAAGTGGAAGAACTATGATAGCCTTAAAGATAGGTTCAGTGCTATTCTGGATTGATGTGGTGTTCTGGTATGCTCTTTGCTGCTGTGATTTTGAGGCTGGTTCCAATGTTCGTCTGAATTCGATGTGGCTGCTTCGTGATTTTTTGAAGGACGATGATGTTATTGATCTTCATCAGTTTTGCATCTTTGGATGGTCTTTTGGGCAACCATGACTGCTTTTTGGGCACGTGGATGGTCTTTTGCTGCTGCTTCAGGCAACCAGTGCTCTTCGTTGGGTTTGCCGGTTTTGGTTTTTGTTATTCTGATGTAGTTCATTTTATACTGAGTCCTTTTGTATTTCTTTTCCATTTTACTTTTTGCTGGTTTAGGTTTACTTGTAATTGGGTTTACTTGTAATCTCTTTGGTGATTAATATACGGGCTTTTGCCCCCATTTTTCCCAAAAAAAAAAAAAAATTAAAGTAGTTGATGAATGCAATACTTTAAATTTATCACTTTTGGAAATAGTGGCAGCGAACAGCAGGAATTGAAACTGGCTGTGGCATTATGATGGAGGTAGTGGGTTGTAGATGTAAAGCTGCATGCTGATTGAGTACTGGCTGGCGGCATGTGTGAAGTCTGGAGGATTGAAGGCTGAAGATGCAGGTTTGCAGTCAGCAGCTGTTAGGCAGCTGGCGGACAAGCAGGTGCATGCAGGGAAGGCTGCAACCTACGGGCTATGGCCTTCATTTCAACTGGAATATTGTAGATTTCAGGAATTCCACATATTTAGCATTTTGTCTCTTGTAGTTCCACTTTGTGTTAGAAGCTGAGTGGTTTTGTACTAGATTTATTGTAGAATCATGTTCGAAATGTTATTTTTTTTCCTTTACTTTTTAATGGCTGGATCATTTTGCTTGGAACAGCATTGCACTTGTTGTGGACAATCCAGAGTTTTTTAACTGGCTTGCTGAGTCTTTGATCGCAAGGGCGAACATAAGGTTTCTAGTTTTACTTTGGGGTGACAAATTATTTCTCAACAGCGAATATACAAAGGACATTCTATTGTATGATTTCAAAGAGATCATTGAACTAGGTCGCGAAAGCCGCCTTTCATTGCTCAGTTCCAGCAAAAAAGGTACTTCTTCATCACACATAAAATGAACATGCCGTTATAAATATATTTACCTGCAGAAAATTATGCTAAATGATAAATTTTTTGAAATCAGTTTAGTTTGTATTGGCAAAATATTACCGGATTGCTATTTTTCTCTTTTTGTATAAGTGGTGTTTGGCTGTTTGCTTTACTTAAAATTTTATGATTGATACCGTAATATTCTTTAGATAAATAATGTGAGTATATATACTCTCACTTGCTTATAATCTCATGAGGAAATTATGTGTTAGAGTGATAGTTCTTTCTATAGATGCTCGCTTTCAGGCATAACTGTTGCTTTAAGCTGTTTAGTACTCGAGTCTCTTGTTTCCAGGCAAAATACCAGATAGAAAGAAAAAAGTAGTGGTCAGGAAGCTGCGTGAGGAGGCTTTGAAAGCGGGTTTATTACCCATAGATATATAACTTCTTATTTTCAGGCTAGATATGTCACGACCCGGCTCGGATGCTCGATTTAATGAGATGGGTACTAAAGTCGGACAGTAAAATTCATTAAACATTATACTACTTTCTTATTTGTACTAAAGAGCCACTAATACCCAAAATAAAATTACCTGATGTCATTTGACGACGAAACATTTAATTAGAGGAATGAGTTTACATAGTAAACTCAGTGGGTATCAATTAAAATAATCAATATTATATTCTTTAATATGCATCATATAATTTCTTAACCGTATTTCATTTATTTTGACAATTTATACATCTTCGGTCATTTTCTTTTAAAACATTTTAAGGCATTTTGAAACTTTAATATTTTCTTTTCCCATTTAATTTGTATAGGAGCACTGTCTCAATGTACCTAAAGGTACAACCTTTTCCATTTATGTCCTTTTTCCTTTTCCATGACTTTTTCCTTTTTACGTGCATGAGTTCAGCCAGTACCATAAGGGGGTGAACTCCTGTGGTTTTCATACATATCCTTTTCCTTTTTTATCATTCATTTACTTATGCTTTTATTTATAATATAGATAATGTCATTCTTGTTCTCATACTTTTTCACTTCCATTTCCTTTACATATACATTTATCATCATAATATTTTATTCCCTAATACCAGGTATTTGAATTCATTAATGTCAAAATTCTATACTCACATATGCATTTGAGATTCCTTTCATATGATGACATAACAAGATAAGTTAATCAATTACTTAGAAAATTTTTAACTAGAAATTCAACGGTAAATAAAATTTCAACAATAAATGTCTAAACATAACAATGATTTACCCACTCTATCTCTTCTTCCAATACTCATGCAGTTTGGAAGTCTTTAATTGTTCACAAGAATAGTACAAAATTAATTAATATTAATTCTCAATTTGAATAAGTCAACAAATATCGAATTCCTTCCATACCTTGTAACATGTTCTCTTTCTTATTGAATTTTTGAAGCATCCAACTCCTTTAACTTGGTCTCTTCCCTTCCAAATTTTCTTAAATTTTCTAAGAATTTAAACAATAGAAATTTTCATAAAACAATTATGCTTTAATAAAAAAATCTAAGAAAATTATATGAAATACATTTTACTTACAACGAGGGGATCTTCCAAATCCCAAAAACTTTCTTCTTTCTCCCTTACAAATCTCCTCGCCTCGCTTCCAAATGTCTTCCTTATCATCAAATAAAATGTTTATATTAATTAGAGAAAATATTAGAAACAATTTATAAAAGATTTGAGAAAATAAACTTTTTCCATATTTCCTTCCAAATTGTTCCTCTCTTCCACCGTCGTTTCTCCCAAACCCTTGCTTTTATAACAATAGGAACGACAAGGAGTTGTTTAATCTTACCCTCCAACGCGATCATTTGCTGAAAATGGCGAAGAAAATCCTCCAAAGCCACTGAGCGTGCGTTCGGTCGTCCGCCCCCCTCCGCTCTCCGCTCTCTGTTTCGTGAAAAAACCGACCCCCCATACGGGGTTGTGTCTTTTATTAGAAGGCTGGCCGGTTTGGTTGAACCGAGATACCTCCACTTTCCATAATTATGCTTGTTATTATTCTATCTGTTCAATGGACACTTTCATCAGCATGTTGCAAGGTTTTAGTCATTTTCAAAAATAAATTTGTGGCTACTTTTAATGTCCTTCAGGTCACATTTACTGCTGACATGGAGGTTTTAATGTTATAAAAATAATTGATTGGTATGTATAAGCGTATTGAGAGAGAATAATTACATTACTAAACTCTCTTTCCTGAATATTAATAGAGTTGGATACAAGGCAGTAATATTTTTCAAATGAGGATTTTTGAAATCTTTTAGCAATTTGGATTCCTTGAATTTTATTACCATCCTCTTCTTCAAGGTCTAAATTATTGGGGGAGTTTATAGTTATAGACCAACTTCGGCCAAATTGTTTTCAATGACAGAGTTGCATGTATAAAATCTTTCTGTGGTTGTGTTACAGCTGTTAATGGAGAAGCTATGCCTTTGTTCTTGACAAAGGAGGGTTTTTTGTGTAATATTTTAATACAGTGCTCTAATTGTTAAAAGTAAGCATTAATATAATTCTTTTTTGTTAAAATGATCAACTTAAATAAAATTGGATTCTAAATTGTAAAGCCTAATATATGATACTCTGAGCATCTATGAGATTTCTCAAAATCAAATGCTCCTACTTCAGTTCTTTGATCTTCATTTCAAAATTTGATTTAAAATTGATCATCTCATCCTTGAAATTCCTAAAGACCAAAATTCTTTAAACAAGAATTTCATGGATTTTAAAATAAAAACTTTAGCCAATATTTAGTTGGTTTTCTAAAAAAGAAAACAACTAGTTTAATCAAAAATTTCTCAAGTACCAAATACTTGAGATGTAATTAAGATAAATCCCAAAATAAGATAAATCCCGTTTAATCAAGTATTGAATGAGGGAATCTCAGCTAAAATTGTAAATTTTGTTATTGAGTCCATAAAGAAATGATATTTTTATCATTTGAGATAATATATTGTATTTCTTATGCCTTGCTTGATCACAAAATATGTAATACATTTCATAATAGAAAAGATTATCCAACAAAGCTCGATGATAAAGATTAAAGTTCAGAACTTATCAAATTTGACAAGTCAGAGCAGTTCAGATTCAAGATTTTTCTTAATTAACAAATTTTTTTTTAAGATTTTCTTAATTAACAAATGGATTGAGATAGTGTCGAGAATTTGAATCTCATTTAACTCGTGGCACGAAGCCACAATCAATATCTCCATCAAATTAGAATCGTTATTCTCTACAGCGAGTCTATTAAGCATAAAGTAAAGTCCGAAAGTGCTTCTCTTCTTCAACATGTCCGACAAAACATAAAGCTCAAGATCGAAGAAGTCATCCCACATTTTTACAAAACCCCATACTGAACTAAGAGAATATTGCTATCAATAAAGTCCATCATGCATAAAGCTATGGACTGATGACCATCTTCCATTGACCAAACAAAAGTTTTAAAGGTTGGGTTACCGGTATGCATCTTTCGCCAAGTTCGTGAAAGCATGACGTTAGGGCAGAAGGCATATTCCACTCCTTACGAGTCGAGAAGATAAATCAGGCAAACTACCTTGGTCAAACCTGTAAAGGTTGGATGCTTGGGTCGAAAGTATATTCAAATCTTGATAAGTTGAACAAGACAATTCAGGTACCTGACAAGTTTGATAAGGCAAATTAGCACATCCATTTAACATAAAGTATCAGATCACTAGCAACCTCTGTTGATATAATAAACTACCCTCAGCCAAGTTAAAAGAGGCCAGTTTTCAACGCTTAGCTCTCAATAAAATAAAAGACCTCATATTCATCAATGAGGCTAGCAAATATACAGAGCTGCTAAAGAAACATAACTGTTGACTCAAAAAATGCTTAAAATCATGTGAATAATAATAGCACAAATTACGAAGAGGAATAAAAAGAAAAATCTCGTAAACACTTGAGAATGAATGTTATTCTTAAATTTTATTTATTAAAAATTGTATACAAGTTTGGAGTCATTTTACAAACCTATATAAAAAAGGTACATCAATAATTATAAGAGACTGAATCCCATTTCCTAGGAGATCCAATTCGGAAAAAGAAACCAATAGTTTTAGCCTATACTTATAGATGCTTCCCGACTTCAATAGTCTGGTCCCATTCCTTTCAAATACATGATATTTTGTTCTTTTGAGAGCGGTGTAAAGTAACATAGGCATCGGTATAAAAGAAAGAGAGAGAAATGGCTATGCAAGTGTGAATTAAATCGTACAAAAAAGCATAATTTAAAATTGCGCAATAAGAGGCGCGCCTTTACGCAATTCTATCCCAAAGAGCCTCATTGCTTAAGCTTTTTTGGGTCTAGGTGAGGTGTACGCCTCTATGCTTGTGAGGCGCGCCTTGGAGGCTGAATTGCGCAATTCTGAGTGAGGCGCACGTCTCATATAGCAGGGTCCCACACACTTAAGTTCATAATGAAATAACATTTCTTCCCCTTTCTTCTTTCTGCCTACCCGAAACCGAACGGACCAGCTTTGCAAAGCCGCAAGTCCACACGCTAGCTCCGCTCGGCCTCCCTTCACGCCGGTGTCGCCTCACGCCGGTGAGCTTCAAGTGTCCGTCTGCCCTCTACGACAACTCCACTATCGATGTTAGGTATTTTTTTTTTAGTTCAAGGAAAGATTTTTCAAGTTATAGAAAATCTAGGGTTTTTTATTTTTTGTTTGTTTTCGTATTTGTGCATTATGAAATATGGTTAGAGGCAAGGAAAAGATAAATACGTCATTACGGCGTGACCCTTCTTAGAAATACAGTGTGTAGGTTGATGTAGGAGGCGGCGAGAAGACATGTGTTTTTAAAATGTAATTTTTGTGATAAGGTGGTGAAGGGAGGAATTACTCGCATGAAGGAACCGGCTCACTTAAGAATATAACACCTTGTGCGAATGTGCCGGATAAGATGAATGAGGAAATTACTGCTTACATGAAGAAGAGTACCACGATCAAACATTTACAACATGAGCAATTTGATGAAAATATCGAACATGGTGCTTACTTCGGGAGCGAGAGTGGAAAGGGCTCTTCCTCCACTATACATAATAGAGGTGCGCTATGGACCAGTATATGATTAATCCAGGATAGGATAGAGGACAAGCACAAATGATGCCTGCGGCTGGTACTAGAGAGGGTCAACATCATGTTTGCATAGATATTGACATATTTTTTGAGAATGCCATACCATTTAATGTTGCGACATCACCGGCCTACTTCAATATGTTGTGATCTGTAGGGTTGTATGGGAGAGGGTTGAAGGCACCTTCCATATATGAGTGAGAACATGGATTTTGAAGGAGCTGCAAAACACAGAGCAGAGTATTGATGAGATTAAACAGACATGGAGTGAGACTGGTGTTACCATTATGTTAGATGGATGGTCTGACATGAAGAGTAGGAGCTTGATTAATATCCTTATAAACAATTCCTATGGCACAATATTTTTACGATCCGTTGAAGCTTCAGACGAGGTTAAAAATGCTGATTTCATTTTTAATTTATTAGATGCGGTTGTGATGCGGACATCGGCACGAAGATCTGGCGCATCTATCACAGGAGGCGTCGTAAATCGACGGCTCTAATTTAAGTGGTCATTTATGAATTATTTTCTGCATTTTAGTTTCTATTTTGTGTTATTTCCTATTTTACCCCTCGGTTAATTTATTTGAGTGTTGTGGCCCAAGGGGCAATTTTGTAATTTTTATTTTCTCATGTTGTGGCCTATAAATAAGGGCCTTAAGCTATTGTAAGAGGATGGTTAATTGATATGAAAATTGTGTTTTCCACACTTGTGTTCTTCTTGTGAGAGAGCGTTAGTGGGATTCCTATGGAGAGGAATCGAAGTTGTCA